ACATTAAAGACGTTAAAGACATTAAAGACGTTAAAGACATCAAAGACGTTAAAGACATCAAAGACGTTAAAGACATCAAAGACATTAAAGACATCAAAGACATTAAAGACATTAAAGACGTTAAAGACATAAAACATTTATCCAGAGGAACGTTTGCTGCTCATGGGAACAAAGTCACTGAAAATTTAAAGCGGTCTTTCCTCCGTGGTTTTATCAAACTTTGTGTATTTTAAAACAGATCTGATTAATTTTTGTTTGCTGGACAAAATGTTCAGCTGATAAACACGTTTCGTTTCTTATCCTTGATTTTTTTCAAACAATGAATGAATAAACATCGTGTGTGATCGTGTTTTATTTTCCCAGTAACTGATATGCTTTAGAAATGGTCCTGGTGGTGTGATGATGAAATACAGCTTCATCCATGTGTCAAAGTTCTGACTCATCCTTTAGCTTTGGTTCCTCGCAGCCAGAATTTATCGTAATCTCTGAAAAAGCTTTAATTAATTTTAAAAATGGACATTTTTAGACGTTGGCTGCCTTTTCCTTGATTTTCAGTCTGGTAACAAAACTCTTCGAGGTCTATCAAGGTCTTCGAGGTTGATGTTTCAACATGATCTTGAGTTTTGGAGCATTTTAGGTCAAAGTTCTTCTCAGGTCAGACTTCAGAGGCGTAAACAAACATTCCTCTGTAAACGTCCACCTAAAAGAGCCCTGAAAGCGTGAAAAAGCAGCCAAAGACCAATAAAAACCCGGAGAGCGGTTGATAAAGAGGACTGCATCAGAACTTTTTGGGACTCTGCTGAACAGAATCAGATGATTTAAACTGGGGCTCAGACCTGTAGAACCTTGTTATCCAGCTCACCTGAAATAAAGAGGTCCATCCAGGCCTTCTGGTGATCCAGAACCAGGTCGTTGACTTCAGTCCTCAGCAGCTCCTCCATCTCCTTCTTGGCTCCATCTCTGAGGGTGCTGAAGGTCTCCTCCAGCTTAGAGGACTCGATAGGTTCTGAGGTCCACACCACTGACAGGATGTTTTCTAAGAACTCCGATTTAGCAGGGACCTGGATCCTGCTGTTCAGCTTTTTGGTGACCACCACCACCAGAACCATTCGGTTGTTCTCCACCTGCACCCTACCAGAGGAGAGCTCCACCTCTCGGTTCCCAAGGTTCTCCAAGCTGGAGGAGAACTTGCTCCTGTGGGCGGAGCTGACGGAGCTGATGTCCAGGGTGGCAGCTCTGTCAGACGGGTTGCTGACGTGGATTCTCTGCAGGAACACGTTAGGTCTGCTGCGGTGGGCGATGAACTCCTCCCGGATGGAGACACAGTCCCGGGCGGACTGCACGGCAGCCGTGGAAGTGCACCGAACCAACAGCACGGCTCCTTTTCTGAACCACAGCATATTTGCCCGAACCACGGCCCGCTCCTCCTCCAGGTGCACCCCAATTATCGGGAAGTAGTCCGTCTGGTGAACTGGAGCCGAGCCGGGCTGCGAGGACGATGACACCCACAACCTATTTGTGTCGACGTCAATCAGAATATGACCATTACCGGACACAAAGGGCATGTCCAGCTGCTCCTCGGGTGAGCTGTAGACCCCCTCACCCCGCTCCACGATGGAGCTCCACCTGTGGATCTCAGCCTGGAGGCACTGTCCCGCTGCGCCGCCGGGCATGGCGGAGCCGCTCAGGAACGTCCACCTGCCCCCTGACCCCAAGTACCAGTAGAAGATGAGGAAGACGAGCAGCCCGATCAGGACCCTCCTCGCCCAGCTGCTGGACAGCAACCCCGGGAGCCCCTTCAGTCTCTGCTGCAGCCACATTTTATGAAGAAGTAACGGACGACCACCAAAGAGTCTGTGTTTTAACAAGGCGGCACCCAGAGTGCTGGAGAGTCTGTTTCAGGTGTCACGTGGACATCAGGCATTGGTGTGCAGCTTGGAGGTGGTACATCCAATTTAGTCTTCAGGCTCCACCTAACAGGTTAAATCAAGACGTCACATCAGTTTCCATCAGAAAGGCGTCAATTTAAGTGTTACATCAAATTTATTTACCCACTTTTAACGTGGAGGTGTTACATCCAGTTTATTTATGCGTTTCCACCTGAAAAAGGTAAAATTAGGTGTCAAAGTTTATCCGTTTCCAAAGTGGAGGTAAATTTAAGCTGTTGCACCATTTTATTCATTAGTTTCCACCTTCAAGAGTTCGATTTAATTTGATAATTCGCGTTCAGTTACTAGTTTCCAGCTTAAAGAGGTCCGTTCAATGTGTCACAACAAGTTACCAGTTTCCGGCGGGTGAAGTCGTAGCTTAGCTTAGCCAAGTTAGCTAACGCTGGGAACGAATTCTGTCGAAAATGTTTCTCGCATCGTTGATGTCGTCACATCCGTCTCCAGGCGCGTGCGGCTTTGATCAAGACTTGGTGCTCAAAATCATTTTGTCCTTCTTTGGATTTATTCAGTTCAGTTTGGTTCTCGAAGTACAAATAATCACCTGACTTCGTAGTAGAATCACTCTAGCGGATGACACTTCCGGTTTGTAGTCGAGCGTCTTCTTCTTCTTCGGTTAAAATGTGGTTGAACAGTTCCGGTTCTTTAGCGCAACCTACCGGAAAGGAGTTTAAATCGGAAATTTCACAATTTAAATGTAAAAGAAGGCGCCACTTTAGTAGGACAGTATTGTAGACGTTTTTTTTATATAAATTAATTAATTATTATAAATAAATATCTGTAGAATTTACTCTCTTGTAAATGAGTCCCCGGGACTCAATAGGACTATATAAATAAAGGTTGAATGAACTGATGTCTACACCGTGGAACCCTGTTACTGCCACTTCAAAGAAAAAAGTTATACAGGCTGTCACTTTTATGAGTTGAAAATTATAATTTTGTTATAACGAATGTTAAAATCATATTTATAAATGTAAAATGTTATAATTAAGATTATATTGACTTCAAAGGTCCTAATAAAGTCCTGGTTGTGACTTTAAAACTCACATTTTCACTCATCTTTAAATATTCTGTTCAAGTGCAGATTTAGTTTGCATTCATTACCAGTGCAGTTCTGTCAAAGTGTCAGAGAGATGTGATTTTATTTATTTTAGTTTATCAGTTTTTCTAGAACCATGGCTGAAATGCAGAGTTTAGAGATTGGTCCATAGTTGTTCAGTGAGGTGGGGTCACCTCCCTTCAGCAAAGAAGAACAAAGGCTGTTTTCCAAGTGTCTGGGATGGAGTTTTGTCTTATGGAGAGATTGAAGATGTGGGTCACAGGGACTGTGATGATATGAGCAGCCAGCCTTAAGAAATAAGGTGGAAGTTCATCTGGACCTGCAGATTTTTTAGGATCAAGATCTTTTAACAGTTTATTGACCTCACTGACTGAGAATGGAGAAAAAGAGAAGCTGTGATTAACTGAGGATTGACTTGTAGGAGGGATTTGATTTGTAGAAGTTTAATTATTAGGGGAAGTGGCTGATCTTCTGTTAGTAACTGTGTCAAATAAAGAACTAGAAGCAACAAAATGTTTGTTGAAACAGTTCAGGATCTCGTGCTGATTTGACACAGGAACAGAGTTAACGAGAAGTTGTGATGGGAGGTCAGATGATTGGGGGGTGCCTGAGAGAGATTTAATGGTTTTCCAGAATCTGTTGGGGTCATTTAGATTTTTGGAGGTCAGAGATAAGAAATAGTTGCGTTTTGCTGCTTTGACAGCAGTTGTACAT